TTAATTCTACACGAGACATGATAGTACAAGTTCTGTCTTTTTACATGAAGCATACCATGACTCCAACACATAAAGCAAGAAAAAATTAAATTTCTGAATGAAAAACTCACATATCAATCTGCTTTTTTACATTGCTTCTAGGTGTCATTACTTCTGCCTGTAATGTGACCATTAGCATATTACATAATGTTCAACCTTTCATCCAAATTTCATACGCGTTGTGTGCTTCCTTCATAATATAGCAATTTTAATGGCTAGCAGTGTATTCTTTTTTAAAGCTAAAAAAAGGGGGGTATGTTCAGTGCACCAGCTGGATTACTAACATCATTTTAAACAGAGCCAGTTAAAATTTATAACAAAGGGACTAAAATTAGGAATGGAACACAGGAGTTATTAAAAAAAATTCCATTACAAACTTTATCTCAACTGATAAATCAGATTTCATGCATTTTAGCAATAATAGCAAAAATGCTTTCAAATCAGCTACAATAAAAGAATGCAATAGCAACATACATCTCTCTTCTGTCTAGAATGGAAAAAGTTCTGTGATAATATGAAGCTGTTAAGATAATGCTAAAATTGGTAATTTTTTCAGAATAGATAGGATTTTGAATAAACATACTACCATGGAATCTTTAATAATAATCATCACCTGAAAACATACTACAGTAGAATCCCGAAAACTCAGCCAACTGTGGACTGAAGTGTGGCCAAGTTTGTGAAAATGCCGGGTTATAGGGAAAGGTTTTAAAAAAGAATAAGTATGAGTGTTTTCTCAGAAAATACAGTACTTGTATGAATTGGCTGCTTCAGAATACAGCAGTTTACAAAGAATGCAATACTGTAATTTAAATTGCTCAAATACTCTTAAACAAAGAAAAGTATGTACTTTTATACATGCCTAGAATACCTTCACTAATGAAAATTAACCAATACACACTGTAGAGTAATTTACCTGATAAGACAGACCTCAGAAAAATATTTTATGAAGGCATAGAGCTGTCTATAATGAAAATCCACTAGCTGACTTAGCAAAAACTAGCTACATTTTTTTAAAGAAATGCGTAACATCCTATTGTTTTCAGCACTGCGTTCAGCATTTTGCTGCTTCATCATGAAGACAACAAAGGAATAGTAAGTCTATTATGACACACCTTCAAAATACTGAAGGGTGGTTTCAACAGCTTTTAGTCAGTCACTACATAATATTTAAGGGGCTTGTATGGTGGAGTCTTCAACGTGTTCATTATTTTCCAGCATTTCTTCATTAACTATGACAGCAATAATTTCTGCATCAGACATAATGTCTTCCTCAGTACCATTCTGGAATCACTGACATCATTTTCATCGGCTTCTGCACATCGAGGAACTCTTTTCATAAGGACAAGTAAGTTTACATTTTCTGCATGATCATGTTCAATGAACTCATTTGCCTCGTGATCAAGGAGTTTTCACCAGGAATGAACTAGTATTAATGACTCAAACTCATTCCAGGCATTCGCCACCCATCCAACAATATCCAATAGCTTAATTTTCTTTTACGCTCTGGATAAAATCTTGATCATCATGGTTTGTAGAAAGAAAGGAGGTTATACCTTGTGCCTATATTTTCTCTTGAAACTAACCAAAACACCTTGGTCCACTGGTTGGCATAAATGGTAAAAATATTGCTCATGCGTCCCGATCTTTTAACACTTCTGTGTCTGGGTACAAAGTTAGAATAGCTTTCCTTGGCAGATTTTTAGATTTTAAAAACTGCTCAACTAATGAAACAAATACTTCATAGAATCAATCTTTGAAAATTGTACAGATCATCCAGGCATTCAACTGGTTTAGGTATCAAACGGAAAGTTTATCCATTTCAATGTGTTTAAAGGCACGTGGTTTCTTCAATTTTTGTATGACACTACATTTTAATCCTTTGCGGTGCACTATACGTTAACGTCGGAATTTCAACAAAAAAAGTTGTATGCAGTCTATTTAGTCCTAAAGGAGTATACAGGTAAAATTTTGTAAAAATTGCACTTACCATTTTAATTCTGTGGGTGTTCCATGAGGTGGAACACTGCGCTGCCAGAGCTTTTAAAAGTGAGACTAAGCGAGCATTGCAGTGAAGCACGAAAATGAGTAGAAGAGTTTGTATAAGAATGAAAAACTCTGTATTATGGCTGTATACATGGTTTCCTGGATATACACATTATTCTTGAATATATACGGATAATTGAGATAAATATCTATATACACATCTTACTATATACAAAAATATTTATAAATTTTCCTATTTCTTAGCTTCGTGAAATTGTTCAAAGCAAGTCACACCTTTTTGATGGAAGCACAAACCAACTTTGCAGGTTTTGCACGGCTTCTGCTTTGTGCTACAATGTGCACATCATCTATGCGTACCCTTCACCGGTATGTGTTCAACACTACTGTAGCGTTTTTCCCCGGAAACCTTTACTTTATGCCTGGGAGTATCTCCAGGTCTTGAAGGAAGTCACCTCTTCAAAGTTATCTCTGACACTTTCATGGCACAGAGGGAACACAGCAAATTTTAATGGAAATATTTGGGCTGTAATCCGACGGTAATTCATGAAACACTTTTAGCGCTTCGGAAAGAGTTAGACCTCTCCGCGACATTTATGGAAAATTAATAATAAAAAAATTAACTATGATTAATATTAACAATAAAGAAGAATAAGCCATAATATATACATACACGAAAAATATCTACACAATTATTGAAAATAAACAGGAATGAGACTAAAATGCGACAGCAAAAAATCCGAGCAGGTCTAAGTAAAGATGAGTCAAGCTACTAATAAAATTCCCACCTAAAAACTACTCCCAAAAAATTCGAGATACCAATATTAGGGCTTTCATAACACAAAACACACCACATCCGTCAATACTGCTTTGTTTGAATTCATTCCTTGAAAGTAAGACTTTTCTCTGGTAACAGCTATAATTTAATCCTGTTTCATTGCAACTGTACAATTGCTCTCTGGTCAAACCTTCGTAAATATAAATTTCTGAAAGTTTTCCTTAAACTGAGACATACCCTCTGTGTCCCCATAGAGTTTTACCCCCCAAATACTAAGCTGTCACATTCTGTATCATTTTTTCTTGTGATCAAGCCAACACCACTGCTTGCAACAAATTTAGGATCTTTTTTTTTTTTTTTTTAATTTTATTCTTCATAAAATTTCACGGCTTTCTCATGGAAGAATGGCCCACTAACTGGCGTGCCCTTCTCTCTTGTTTAGCAAAATCAAATGTAAAGTGCCTCATTTAGCTCATTAAACAACAATTACTTCATACTTTTCCTTTCTTTCAACGTTTCTATATGTATTATCTAACACACCACGACTTGATTTCTGTCCACTTCTTCCAGTCTCCGATTGTACTTTTTCGACTTCCAAGTCCTCCACTGACACTTTCTCCCTTATCCAATCTCTTTAATACCCCCAACTTTTGCTCTATACACAAGTTCACTTGTTTTCTTTTAATGGAAGATGCCATCGCATAATACTGTCCGCACCCACTAACTTTGAAATAGCTCTGAACAATACAATACAGTCACTCACATCCAGTTATGCAATGCAGTTAAGAAATTAACTAAACCTGGCAAAGGCTGCATGTAGATTGAATGGCTGAGCGTGTGCTGGCACCAATCACATAGTAGAGGAGTGGGAGTATGATACAAGACACAGGAATGAGGGAAGAGGAGTACACACTGGCATGGGCAATAACCTTGAAGATATCTGCACGTGGGATTTTTTTTTGCTCTGCCAGGGTGTGGACGAGTTATCTGAACTGCCGGGTTATCCAGTACCAAGTTTTGGGGACTATGAAATATTTAATAATAATCATTACCTGAGTAGCATTAAAATAATTCTAGATTTCCTTATCAAACAATGAACAAGAGGATTTTTCTACATCATGCTGAAATCATTTTGTGAAAAAGACTCAAAAAGTTCAAATAATGTAGTGGCAATTTCGGGTCTGAACCTATATGCCACTCAATTTTCTATGTGATGGATGAAAATAAATTACACCAGACTATAATGAAAATAGCTAACCTTGAGTCTTCAAAGCTGTGCCAAAAGCAAGATACATACTTAGAAGAATCAAATAACATTTTTTATGTAATTAAATTAGACCCCATTAAAAGGAAAATAATAAAAAATTAACGAAGCAATTTTTGTTACAATATTTGTAGACATTTTACAGATTTAAGAGAAGGAATAATCTGCTTTGAAGCTTAAAACAAACAAATTAAACATAATAAAAATTTTGAATAGTATAGATTATATAAAATTATCATAAAAATTTACTGGGTGTTGTAAAGCTGTGCTTTAGTACTGATTTATTTGTATATTCTACTGAAAAATTCAGAAATCAGATAATTTTGATTCTGTATTGCTCCATTTTAAGTTCAATTCAAATATACTGATTCTGAAAAACAAATGTAGATAACAAACTGGAGCACACTGAAAATTAGGGAAAACAGCAACTTCATTTTGCTGTACATTTTGAATAAATCTCTATTAATTTTCAAAATGATCAGACACAGATACATTATCTTTGGTAACAAAAAGAAGTCTGAATGCTTTTTTTACTGAAAAACAGGGACCTGTGTCTGATCATCCTCCAAATCGATAAGGTTGAAAATTTAAGCCAAAATAAGGTTGCTGTTACGCTTAGTTCTGAGAAATAAGGATCTGTAAATTTCTGCAGCACATTAGATGCACTTCTTTGAATATGCGAACAAAGCATTTAATACTGAATAATAGATTTTATAATCTAAACTTGATAAACAGTTATTTGTAATTTTATAGAATAGTTAAGAAACCACAAAAGCCTAGATTAAAAAGAGCATAAACTACATAACAAATTTTAAATTACCACCTACTATAAATTATGTAATTTAAAAATTATCTGTACATTACAGAATTTTATAATATTTATATCTTGACAATAATTATGTTCAATATACTTACGTTACATTTTTTAAGCCATGTGTTTTCTTCTGTAGAAATGACATCATTATAAGTGACCTATAATCAATATCACGAATGAGTTTTCAAAATCAGGGCCAGATACAAAAGACTTCAAGAAAAAAATACTTAGGTATGAAGTTAATTTTTTTTAATACTATAATTCTACAAATACACAACTACATATTTTAATGAAAAATTAAATTAATTTTTTTTTTAATCTGAAGGGTTTCAGATTTTAAATTACGTCCAAAGGGGCTTTTTTTTAACGTTTTGTGTGTTTCTTTTATTTATTAAATATCATGTTCTTCGCACTTAAACTATAAAATTCACTTCAACAGCAATGTCGCAAAATAATTTTAAAATGAGCATATCTTTAGAATTTTTGATACACAGTTCCGCGCCCACTGGAGATGATAAAAGATTTTTTCACCCCGCCGTAGAGTGTTGCCATCGCTCGCTTTCAAATCGTTGAGTTTGTTACTCAAAAAATTCAATAAAGTTTTACAAAATATGAAATCAATAATAAAACAAATTCCAAATTTTAAATTCGGTCTGTACACATGCCTATATTCGTAGGCGGATTACGTCATTCAAAATTCGATGCCTCTATGTATTGTTGTTTTATCACAATGCAAGAAATATACATACATTTATGCAGATTTTTCATTATTTAATTTCTTCAAATATAATGTAGGACTCTAACATTTGGTGGCAACAGTTTGAAAAGTGAAACAGACATTTATAGTGATTCAACGTAAAATCGCAAAATGAAAACAATAGTCCTTCAGGGACGAAGCCTCTTTGGACTTATGGTGATTCCTATCATATTGTTACCTATATGTTGGTCTCGCATTCCATATCACAGATTATGTGACACAGACTGCATTAATATAAATATTAACTAGACATAGTGCACAGTAAAAATTTAGCTTTATTTCAGAACTTCATGCATACTCCCTGACAGCCGGCCTGTTTCCTCTCCTCCTACTCGTAAGAAGCTTCTCCTCTAGGGTTGCCACATTTTATCAGAGGGCGCAAGGCACGCTCCTTATCGCCATCACCACCGACTAATAAAAATATTGATGCTTGGATATGCAGCAAACTTTTTCAGTAAGAAATAAAAGAGAAAGTAACTAATCTGCTTTTATAAATTATGATAACACTGTTTCGAATTAAAACACAAATGCAGTGGTAAAATATATACTGTACATATACTGTACATAAATGAAGCACTGCATATGATACTGTAAAAGGTATACAACTGTATATGTTTCCAGCAAAGTATGAAATACCTGCATTTTATAGAATGCCTAAGCATTGTATATAATGCCAGACTTTTTAGGCAAAGTATGAAATATGAGAACTATTACATACTTTCCCTAGGCACTGTATATAATACCTAGGCATTCTATTGAACAACATATGCTATTTAGACAAAGTATGAAAAAAGGTTCTGATAAGGTTATTATACAAATGACGTGCATTTCTCAAAAATGCAAATGTTATTCTAAAAAAATAATAAAGAGTTCAATTAAGAAAAATTTATTCAAAAGATGTAAAGAAAAATTAAAGTTGTACAAACAAATTAAAGTTGCAACATGATAGGCTTGAATGACATTTAGAATTACATTTCATTGCATTTTTTATACTAAGACGTTTTATATTTTGGCACCTTGTTTTACACATACATTTGACGAATACTAGGTCCCTTCCACAGGACTGAGTATTTGCAAATGACCAGAGAGGAATTTCATGGTCAGGAATATCTTCAATTCTAAGCAAGTTTTTGTGGCATAAAGGGAATTGTGATCTTGCATACACATGTTTTAAAATTCTTTCAAAAGTTTTTAGTCGGTAGAAACCATCCTTTATCACAATAAACTGCCAATAAATTGCGTGAATCACTTCCCCTCTTGTCGATGTCAGGAATAGAAACTCACACAGCAGCTCCCAAAGAAGCAGTGAGAATTTTTTTTTTTTTTTTTCCCCTGAATCCTTTTCACTTTTTTTTGGGGGGGGGGGCTTGTATTTCCAGATTGATTTTAAAAATTATTTTATCTTCAATAGGATTTTTAGTTTTGAAACAAAAGATGCACAAAATATCCATTTCATCATCTTTACTAGCATGGCCACAGAAGGTATAAATTTTTCCACAATACTTCTTGCATGGAAGTACATCATTCATTTCCTTTAATCACACACAACAGGTATCAGAAATGGAAATTTTTTCGGTAAGCATGTTTTCATCATGTTGGTTGGTTGACGTGATTACGGCAAAGGCTTGAGGGTTATTAGCCTAAGGAAAGAGATGCCTTCGTAGAGTAATTTCTAAGAGACTGGCTCGTATACACGTTACACATGGCGGAAACCATGAAAACACCCATGCAGGCAGCCCATTCATACGATTCAAACCTTGGATCGAACTACCATTGTTCAGTGACATTACCACTGATGAGCCTTTTATCATGATTGGTTAAATCCACTATCAACTATAATCTCATCCATGTTTTTTTTCTTTTTTAAACAGGCTCTTTTTCTTGCATAATTTAATTAGTCCGAACTTTTCCCATTATTTGGAAGCTTTCTATTATGTATTTCATACTTTGAGAGAGATACTGAGATGTATTTTATACTTTGTCAGTTTTGGTATTCTAGAGAATGCCTAGGAAATGTGTGAAATATAAAATGTTTCATACACTGCCAGCTAGTTTAGGCATTATATACAATGACCAGGCATTCTATAGAATGCCGAATTTCAAAACTTTGCCGGTAACATATACATAAAATTTTTCAACATATTCTAATGTCTGTGATCTATGTTTGGTAATTGATTTCATCCTCTTTGCAATATTAGCTGGATTTAGTAATATTTTTGTTTTTCACAGCACCATCATTTTTCACAGCATTTTTGACACCATCTCACTCAGCATACAGTATGTAAGAGCTAAGAAGCATATATGGATACAATCTTCATACTTTTGAACAATCTCTTTTTCCACTTCAATGGTGATCCTAATAATTTTCTTCCTTGCTCAACCCTTATCATTAACTTTCCTAAAACTCATAGTTAACGAATTTACAAAAAATTATGCAAAGAAACATAAATTCACTAGAAAATTTAATATTATGGCATGGGTTATTTAAGAAATAATAGAAAAAGGTATACTAATACGCATGGGGAATTGTAACACTATCTTCGAAAAGGTACACAAGAGTAATGTGTGCAGTCATGATTGATCGAACTTGAACCATAATCCAAACATATATCATATACCAAACAAAAATTTTCACATCAAAATAGTACATATATTAAGTTGGGCAGTTGCAGAAATGTCTCGGAAGAGGTAAACAAGTGTAGTGTGCTCATAAATCATTAAACTTGAATCGTATTCCAAATAAATATTGTTTACTAAACAAAAAATTTCTTTTCGAAACAGTATGTATACTAATTTGGACATAATTCAAAGAAGATGTATACCAACAACAACTGTATTTTAGTTATGTGAATTAATTCTATATGCATTACAAGACAAGAATAGTAACAAAGATATTTATACACATTACAATACATTACATGGCATGAAAGTTGGCTTTACTTAGATGTCAAGATTGCACACAATATGACAACAATTCGATTTGATATGTAGTCCCTGATTAATCATGCTTCATATATAGCACCATAATTTACACCATAATTCAAATCTTTAATATCAGTACCTTATCTTTTATAGTGACATCAGAACTGCTACCTCTACCATCTATTTCCACCTTTATCATACTATAACCATTGTCATTTCCTCCACTGTCCCTCAAAAATAATTCTCAAATCCATCAAGAACACTAGATATTTAAGTCTTTTCTTATAATATTCCTTATTCTCATTTATTCATGAATGAAAACCTACATAACCAAAATTTTATGGATCATCAATTTGGTAGAAAATTGCAGAACTTTCCCATTTCTGGTTAAAATTTCCAAGCACTCAACATGTTGTAAATCTTATAAAAATAATCTTTAAATGGTTTATTCACTGAAAAACTAAGAAGCCAAAGAATAGTTCTGGAACCAAAGAACAAAATAAAATTTCCCTGGAATTGTAGTAGGAACAGTGTTCAATCATTTCATTCCTTTTTTTACATCTTCTATTTCAGAGATTTCCAAACTTTTTTTATCATGTACCCCTACAATAAAAATAATTATAAACTGCTGACCATAAATTATATAATATAATATAGTACAGTATAATATAATGCATAGCTATTATCTATGAAACCTGAAAAACTGGGAGATATTTTGTGAGAAAAACAGGCAAAATTGGGAGGTTTTCATGTTGTTTTGTGATGCCATTTCAAAGGAGCTCCAAACTGATTTAAATTCACTTTATAATATATGATTCATGTTACTGAATCATTTGTAACACAATTCAGATGCATGATACATAAGTTTCATTACATATTCTAAATTTTAAGCTATTTGGCTAAATTTATTTTACAATTTCCTTAAATTTTTATGCTGAGAAAATCCCATACAGAGTAATAAAGTACTATTTATCAAAGTACATTTAAATATACTGAAAATTAAATTAAGGCACATAATATTTATCTGGATAAACTTAGTAATGTACAATATAATAAAGCAAATATTAAATGATTAAACATCGGTTTAATCTTCATATAAAAATCGATAAATGTCTGCAGTAGATTAAGGAAACTTGGATAAAATGAATGCAATATGATAAATGTCAATAAAATGTAATAAGGAAAAATACAGTTCAGATGAAATAAAATTTAACAAGATAAATTATAATTCAGAAGTCAAACAACAAAAAGATAAATTATTTTGAAAATCACTAGGGCTGGAGGAATAAAATTTGCACAATTTAAGTTTCATTCATTCCATAAATTTCATTTATTGCTGGGAAATACTTTCCTTAGTGTAAACACTAAAAATTAAAAACTGGAAGATGTGATGAAAAGCCAGAAGAGTTGGAAGCTATGATAATGTAAAATTAGTTGGAAGCTATGATAATGTAATGTAAAATGTGCGTAAGCAGTTAT